CATGGGTTGCAGTGCACGGCTGGGGGATGCACTGGCAGAGCTGGGGTGTCACGTGCCTCCATCACCTGAACCTCTTACCTCCCCTACCACCTATTCCTAGTTACCCCAATCCTCCCTCCCAGCAGGGTTACCAATTTTGGTTGAACCTATTCCTGGAGGTTTCATCACATGACACAATCTTTAAAGATTAATCTTTAATTCCTGAAAAACAACGAGGAGTCTGGTGGCTTTGTGGATACAGACTAACACGGCTACTCCTCTGATACTTTAATTCTTGGAAACTCCAGGACAATCGTGGAGGTTTGGCATGCCTCATTCCAAGAAAGTTTACACATCCAATTTTCCACCCAAACGCTTTGATTGCATTTCTCCCAAAATGAAATTACCACCTAAAACTCTCACCTTGTAGCAATCTCCAGCCACTCAGTTCAAAATTCCTTTTGTCTTAGGTGGGGGGTTCTAATTAACTTATCTTTAGCAGTGTTAATGGAAGGGTGAGTTCACAGCCATCCAGTGGTCTGTGATTCATCTTCCAGGTCTTAGTATCTACCTATGAATTCTAGATCTAGAGTTCTAGCTCTACGTTTTTGTTTTTTTAAAACACCGACCACCTAGAACCTTTTTTTAAAAATGGCTGTTTTAGGGCTTATATCTCCAGAACATCTAGCTCAACAGATGTCAGCTTTGGGTCACTAACCCTACCCTGCCATCTCCTGAGGTGCACCACTATAAATTGGTGAACCTTATGGGGGTGCAAGATATGTGTAGTGATCCAAATTAGGGGTCATTTGACCAAGGGGTTCACGAGATGCCGTTTCCCACCCAATAATCAGCTTTTCTAAAGGTTCCTGCTAGTAATGGTTTTTTGCCCACATCTAGAGATCAGACCATGGGTCTGATCCTGGCACAAGGCTCTCACTCACTTGAGGGTGACCCCAGAGAATGCATGGCATCCACTAGCCCTTTGGGGGAAGCAAGATCCGGAACATTATTAGCAAAAGAGTTTGGCCATCCACGTAGGCTCTTTAGTAAAGGTCAAGCACTCCACAAGTTACACTGAGCACGTATGTAAAGCGAACCCCAAAGGATTTGCAGATAGAATATGGTCAAAGCAGCTGGATAGACTGAAGAAATGCACAGTAAGTGTTTGTTCCTGAACTCCCCCAACTAGTGACAGTTCATGGTCCCCCTTTGCTGAAAACCTGGGAAAGCTTGGCTGGCATGTTGCTAAAATCTGTTACTATCAGGCTTCTATTTTGGAGGGGGGTGTAATGTCATCAAAGTATTTTTGTTTTAAAAAATAGGCGTGCAAATGCTTGCTTGCAAGAGAGGAGCATTTTAGGGGAGGAAGGAGTTAAGGGAATAGGGTGAGAGGGGTTTGGGCCTGCACGGAGAAGAGGCGGGATTATGGGGAGGGAGAGAAATGGGAACGGGTGGTAGAGGAGGTTGGGTTTGGGGAATGGATACTGGGAAGCAGACATGAGGGTTTTTTGCAGAGCGTTTGGGAGTAATAGGGGCAGCTCCACATTCTCCCTGTCTGTCCCTTTTGTGTGTGTGCCTGAATCTGGGGGACCCACTAGCTCTCTAGGGGAGTCTTAGCCCCTCTCCCCACCTCTGCATGTGAGGTGGAATTTGGCGGGGGGGCTTGCCTCTCTGGGGGGGTCTGAGCCCTGCTCCTGACCCACCTCTGTTTGCCAGGCTCTGAAGCTGCCTTGCCCAGCCTTGGGGATCTATCTGCCTTCCATGCCCCCTCTCATGTGAGCCAGGATCTGCAGTAGGCATTGCTTTCTAGAGATATCTAAGCCCCTCTCCCTACCTCCTCACATGAATTGGAATCTGGGGTGCTTTGTCTGGCCCTTTCTCTCTACCTCTCCCCATGTGAGCTTGGATCAAGGAAGTCGGGTGCTCTGAGGGGGAAGCTTAGAACAGGCATGCTCAGAGCATGCCCCAAGAACACACTGCTGAGAGAAGGGTGAGGAGCTGAGAATGGGCATGTCAGAAACAGTCTTGGGGAGGGGGAATGGGAAAATCCACTGGCATGAATGGAGCTGTTCATATGTCTCAGAGCTAGGTGACCAGGTGTCTCAATTTTATAGGGACTGTCCTGATATTGGGGGCTTTGTCTTATATAGGTGCCTATTACTCCCCACCCCCATCCTGATTTTTCACACTTGCTGTCTGGTCACCCTACTCAGAGCTAGATTCTGGCTGAATTCAGGCTGGGTGTTCACTTTCAGGTGAGAACATCTCATTGAGATGAATGGGCCACTCCACAGCTCTCTGAGACTATTATGATGCTGATGGATGTGTGGAGCACCTCTGCCCCATTGGCCTTCTAATTTTATACAGCATTACAACTGAGCACCAGCTCTGGTCTAGCTAAGGTGGGGAAGTCCTTCCTGTTTAAAGGATGACTACTAAGTATGCTAAAATCTGTGTGTTTACACAGATTGTCTTGAAATTTGCTATGTGTCATGAAAGCGTCAGGTAGGGTGAGTGATCCAAAGATGGGGTCATTTGAGTGTGGGGTTCCCCACAGCCTTCAGGGGAAAAAAATTGAGTTCACAGATTTTAGCAGCTTTGAAGTTCTAACCCCACCCTGAGCAGAAATCTGAAAATAGTGTAAACTTTTGTTTTAATTTGGAGAAATGGACTCTGAGCACAGCCGATAATTAAGAAGGCTCTCAAACTGTGTTTGAAAAGAAAATTAATTACAAGAGGTGATTGCCGTGTAAGAGTAAGTGGGAAGAAGGGGCTGTTTGGAGTCTAGAGCAAGGGATGGGGGACACAGGTGCTGACTCTGTGGGAGGAAAAAAATTGGTGGATGCTTAGCACCCACTGGCAGCTCCCTTCCCCCACAGCGCCTCCCACTGCTGATCAACTCCTTCCCCCTCCCTCCCAGCGCTTCCTGCCCACCACAATCTGCTGTTTCACGGTGTGCAGGAGGTGCTGGCTGGGGTGGGGGGGGAAGCAGTGGGGATGAGGTGTGCTTGGGGAAGGGGGAGGAATTGAGCGGGAAAAAGCAGGGTGGGAAGAGGCGGGACAGGGATGGGGCTTTGGGGGAAGGGGTGGAGTTGGGGTGGGGCCTGGAGCTGAGTGGGGTTTTGAGCACCCCTGGAGAAAGGAGGAAGCTGCGCATGAGGAGGGGGATAAATGAGGATGGGTGGTAGGGGTGGAAAGAAGGGTTGGGCTCAGATAAGGGGGAGGGTGGGGATTGGGGAAATGTGAGGGGAGAGGATGGGGAATGTGAGGGGTGGCAGAGGAATTTGAGGATTTGGGGGTGGGCTGTCAGCCCTGAATTCTCCTCTTCTGTGAATGTGCTTGGATCTGGGGGAGCCCTGCTCCTCCATGTGAGCTTGGATCTATGGACCCTGCTCTTCTTGGAGTGTCTGAGCCTCTCACCTTGCTCTCCAATGAACCCAGGATCAGGGGGGGCTAAAGATCATGCAAATTTAAACATCTGAAATCCAGAAAATGAAAAATTAAGATACACATCACTCTGTGGGAATACTGGCCAAAGTGTGTGGGGGAAGGGCCTGGTTTGGAGGAGGGGTGGACTGGGTGGGCTGGCACATGGCTGGGGG